TAAGGCTGCGGAAACATACCTTTTATTTGTTGAACTAAATAAGATAACTTTTATTTGTGAACTAAATAAACTCTGGAGGAGTACATGACAAGAAATGAAAACCTGAAACCAATCAGAGATGTTCCCAATTCTGGGCTGGGACTGTTTTCCCTGGAGGTCCTACAAGCCTACAGCCAACATGACTTCCAAGATGTATCAAATCAAAGAATGTAGCATGAAATGAAAATTTCACTGGCTATTGTAGACTACCTCTGGGAAAACATTTTATGAAAACATACCTCAATCATTTAACTTGACAGGCCAAGTCCATTATTAAACAAAAATATATCTCTCAAAACAAATCTTGATTCATATAGACTCAAGATGATAGCTGCCTTCCAAATTCCAAGAGAGAATAGCAACACCATGTGATTGTAATCATAAAACTTTTATCATGGCATTATCAAGCCCTGTTTCTTTAAAACCCAACCTTAGTCCTTTCTTAAAGTCTCACTTAATATATGTCTATATCACCTATCTATCTATAAATTGATAGATATCTTATTATGTGGGATTATCTTTTAATCTACAGGCAATTGTTTAATTATACCATTATGGGATAGAATGACAATAGGGTTAAAAATAATTCCTTCTGAGATTTAATTAGAGTCTTGGATTAGACAACACACTCTTACTAATCTCCCATTCACGAGTATCACATAACATATTCCTTGTGAATCTTCCTTGGTTGCCACCTTTCCCAAATAGACTTGCATGACTATGCTCTTTACACCAGAAAAAAAAAAAAAAAAAAAGAAAAACACTACTTTAAAAAATGCTTCCAGTATTTTACACAATGAGTTCAAGTGCCAATGGACATGTATTGGGCAATCTTGTATAAACTCTCCTGATTATATCTGTCACACTGTAATGTAAAGCTTAATGTTACAATAAGATTGACTTAGACCTGAGGCTAAAGCCATGTTATATTCATTTTTGTCCCCTATAGTGGATGCTGCCTCGCTCTGGTTGCCTTTATTGAGCCAATGCACTTATCTCCTACCTGCTATGAGTCTTGGCTGCTAATGGTTCGTACTTATCTTTTTCAAGAGAATTATAAGTGGCCACTAAGAGCCCAGCCCAGGAATGTCCAGAGAGCCCTCGTCAAAGGACTAGATGGTTATATGGCGCCCACACTCAAGCTCTTGACTTGAGTTAGAACAGCGCTTTATTCTCCAGTGCTACCCTGAAGATCAGGCTAAGGCTAATTTGAGTGAAACCCACTTCTCTGCTTAGCTTTCCCCTGCCCTAGTCTGCTTCCCTCACTTCCTTAGAGGTTTCTGCTGGAAACACTGTTATCAGTAAGTCATTTGCAAAAGAGCATCAATTTCAGGCTGTACTTTTAGAAAATCTAAGGTACAGCCTACTGATCCTAACTCTAAGCATACCATTTTCTGTGCCCATCTGTCATCAGAACAGAAATGATGACATTCATCTCTTCATATCTGGGACCTAATCAGTGCTGGCAATAGCAAACACTCAAAAATAAAGTTTGTAAATTTGAATTAGTATGTGAGTATATTTAACTCATTCCTTATCTTCATATTATATTGAATAGTGAAACCTTAGAAAAAGGCAAAGAAAGCTCTAAGGATCATTGTCATTATCGTTTAATACCAACCTTATTCTAAGACCAAATGAATGTAAATTGCTGGTTGAAGGAGGCAAAGTCCGCCTCCATCTTCTATCCCTACAATAATTCAGTGATTAAACAGCATATCTCCTCAATTAAATAGATTCATTAAGCATAGCTAATGGCCATATATCAAACCTGAATTTTCTTTTTCAGCTTGTGCTGAGAATATTTTCCATTTCTCACTTTCATCTTACTCCTGTGTTAAATCAGCATTAGGTTGGTAAATAACAAGCCAACTCTAAAAAATAAAGATGGTGCTTTTTCTCAGTTCCCACACAGTATATCACTAGAGATTAAAACACATGCAGGGATCTGGTCGCTACTGTACCCCTTGTAAACAATTCTATTTCTCTTCCTTAAGGAAGATAGATCTGATTCCACTAAATGAATTAACAAGTTTATCTAGAAGGAGAACTCTTACATTAATCAAAAACATGTGAATATATCTAAATTAATCTGAAGGCATAAGTTTCTTGATTACTGTTTCTGCTCTGGTATATCTGATAAATAAAATAGCAGAATTTCCATGAGTACAAAAGATAGGACAAAAGATGTAAGAACAGAAACCATAAAATACATAAAAGACAACATAGGTAAAACTCTCCATGACACTGATTTCAGTGATGTCTTTGGGGCTTTGATGCCAATGGCAAGGAAAACAAAAGCAAAAATAAACAAATGGTACTATAGTAAACTAAAACACTTCTGCACAGCAAAAGAAACTGTCATTAAAACAAAGCCAACCAGCTGAATTAGAAAAAAAAAATACTTGCACCTCACACATCTGACAAGGGACTTGAACACAAGGTCTACAGATAACCCATACAACTCAACAACAAAAACAAAAACAAAGAATCAATCACAAAAATGTACAGAAAAACTAAATTGACACTTCTCCAAAGAAGGCAGATGACCATTAAGCAAAAGAAAAAAAATGTTCTTCATTACTTAATATCAGGAAAATGCATATCAAAACCACAATGAAATACCATTTCACACCTGTGAGAATGGCCTATACCAAAAAGATCAGAAACAACAATGCTGGCAAGGGTGTAGAGGAAAAGGAAACCATACACTGTTGGTGGGGATGAAACTGGTCAGTCCCCATGGTAAATAGAATGGAAGCTTCTCAAAATAATTAAAGTAGATCTCTCATATGATCCAGCAATTCCATTTTTAGCAATTGCACTTTTTTTTTTGGCACCCAAGGCATAAAAACAAAACAAACAAACAAACAAAAACCTCACACTAATTTGAAGGGATATATGTTCACTGTAGTGTTATTTACAATAACCAGCTAAGGAAGCAATCTAAGTGCTCACAGACAGATGAGTAGATTAAGAAAATGTAGTATATAAACACAATGGACTACTACTCAGCTATAAAAGAAGACGAACTCTTGCCATTTGTAACAACATGGATAGAACTGGAGAGAATTAGCTTAGCAAAATGAGCCAGAAGGAGTGAAATGCCAATTTCACTCAGACATGGAATACACAAATAAAACAGAGGGTTAGAGAAAACCAAGTCAAATGTAAACCCTAAAATTCTGACTGTAAAATTTAGGATACCACAGCAGAGGCGGAGGAAGGTGAAGGCCAAAGGGGGGCTCCAGTGGGCTGTGGTGAGGAGTGTGGGTGTCCTAATGATGCGTGTGACGTGGTAACATACATTTGAAGAAGTGTTATGTCTATGCACAGGATTGTAAACCAATGTTACTGCAATAAAAAATAAAATTAATCTAAAAAACAATAAATAAAATTGCTATTTTATTGTACAATCAGAACTACTTGATGCTCCCTCCTAGAGTCTCTGCCAAGCCTACAGATGACTGGCTCATTCTCAAGGCAACAGCTGCCCTTCAGTTTCAGTGTACTTTTATGCAAAAGGTTCTAAACTTTCACAGGAAGCTCCCCAGTCATTTTCTGGCCTAGAGACGTTGTATTGTGATGATTAATGACTTGGGATCTACCTTCTCTTTGGTCCTTCATCTCATCAGCTTATCATGACCTCCAATGGCTTAACACACCAGTTCTCATGTGTTAAGTTCCTTCTTCTATGTGGAAGTAAGAAGAAGCAGGGACAGCAGTGCAGTGTAATCATCAAATTTAAGCTTTCAAACTGTATTTATAAACCATTCAAAATGCTTTATAATCTCCACATGAAAGCCAAGTTTGAAGAAAGACTTCTTCAATCTGAATACAATATACAAATGAGTAAATTATTGTTAATGGTATGATTTTCTAAACGCTTCTTCAAAGGCTGAACCAGGACAAATTATTTTCATCTTAAACAATAAATTTATTTTTCTACTATCCAGGATTTCAATATAATACAGACCTGTCCACATTTGTAAAACAAAAGATACAACTGCAAGAGAAATGAGGAGAAAAAAAAACAAGGATTGCATTTCAGAGTAACAGAAAAATGATTACACTAGAACACATTTTAAACAAGTTTCTGCTAGATCATGTAGGTTGAGTGTGATTACTAGTTCTGGGAACACCTTATGAAACAAAAGTTAAGCATTGCACTGGGAAATGGATATAGTGTCTTGAGTTCATTTCTCTATTGAATAGCAAGTAGAGTTCAATTTGGGCATGGGGAGTTAGGATATCTGGGGAGAGGATTTTATCCCAAGGATATCAACAAGAAAAAAATCAGGCTAGGAAAAGTAAGATACAGAGATGGAATTTTACACAATCATTCAGAGTGCAGAGGATTTCTATTGTGTCAATTTAGCTTACCTGGAACTAAGTCTCTCAAAATTACCTTCCCTACATAGTTCCTGATTAGCACAGTATCAGTCACATTCTTCACTCATTCAGAAGATCAAAGTAGGCAATGAGGTTAAGATATAAGTTGGTGCACAAAGTTTAGTAGAGTGGTAAAAATTGGGAAGATAATGGAGTAAAGTGTCTTATTTCTCAGAAGAAATAAAACACTCTTCACTAAGTTACTGTTGCTGCAAAGTTCTCTGTAATGCTCAATTCAGATTAAATCAATACTATTTAAGTTCTCCAGGTATACAGTGAGTATAAAACAATTTACTTGCTCTTTAGTATCTTTGTATAACTTTGTCCATGTCATTGAAGTTATTGGTCACCCATGCTTAAATCATATCAGCAGCTTTTATTTATGCTTTTTATTTATGTATAATTATGGTTAACTTTCTCAACAACCTAAATGCCCCAGAACAGGTTAGTGGATCAAGAAGATGCAGTATAGAGAATGGAATACCACTGAGCAATCAAAAAGGATAAACTCATGCCATTTGTGACATCATAGACGGAACTGGAAGAGATTATTAAAACATATTCATTTTTCTTTTCTAGGTAGTATTAGCATTCCTAGTAACTTATGTTTATATTTAAAATTATGTTTTGCATAACAGTTTTGATACGTATTTTTATCCATGACATAATTCTGGAAAGATCATAATTCTGAGAAATCAGAAAACAGTGAGTAGCTGGCATGTAAGAATAAACATTTCTGAAGCCCAAGCTGTAACATTTTTCACTTTATAATTTCAATTTATTCTTACCAATCTTTTATAGTTAGCATTACTATCCCTGTTTTAAAATTTGGCAAAACCAAGGCTCAGAGAATTAAATGTCTTGTTCAACAGCTCATACTTACAAGTGACTGTGAACCAAATGCTATTTAAGTCTAAAGCCCTGATTCTTTCTACTACCTGGAGCTTCTTCAAAGGAAACTTGCATTTCTGATAGGTGACTTATGAAATTATAACTTTTTGTCTTTATATGCTTCTAACCTATGACTTTGCAGTAACTTAATTTCAGACATTTAAGTAAGATTAATTCTTCCTCTTAATCTAAAAATAATTATCTTTCTAGCTTGAAAGATGTTATAGAGGAGGGTAGCAAAGAGCTCAGCAGAAGTTAGCCATGGTTTTAGAGCCACTGGGCTCTTCTTTATATAACCAAATCTTCCTTTATTTTGTCTTAAATCTCCACCTGATGCCCAAGATTCATTCAATGAACCCTAAGTGTCCAAGAGAAGCCAGATACAACATTAAAGAATTATTCATGGAATAATTCATGGAATCTATCTACCATGAGCTATTTCTAGTATTAGATAACTATGTAAATGAAATTCCAACTTTGCACAATGCTGCTATAATTTGAGAATGTAGAAGGACAAAAGGAATCATCTCTACTGGAAGACATAAAAGAGGTGCTACTTGAGCTAAGACAAGATTGCTCATGGTAAAAGTCTTACCATTCAAGAGTATATGCAAAAAGTATATTCATAAGTAGATTTACTCTTTGGAAATTATAGTAATTTGGTGTACTGGAATATAGAGATCGGGCAATGAAATTGGTAGGGAAGGCATAACTCAATTAACGAATTCCTTCATACCAAGGAATTTTGGCAATGGAAGCTATAAAAATGCTTACACTGGGAATGAATATGATTAAACTTGCAGGTCTGACAACAGTAAATGAAGAATAACTTTGAAGGAGGATCAAGACTTACCCTGGATTGTCTTCTGACTAGTAGACAATGCCCTCTAGTACCAGGACCCTGAGCTAGCCTAGCCCAGAACCCTACCCACTCCCTGCCTGGTTCTCCCTCCCTGGAAGTTATAACCCTATTTCTTGCCCCACCAGCTATTGGACTCTACAGCAAAGGATTATTTTGTTCTGTTGTCTACTTTGTTCTCTACTTACATGTACTGCCAGAGCTCTGGGTCACACCCCCCAAAAAATGCCACATATGCTACTTGCTAGACCACTATGGACTGTGTTATCCTTGTGGATCTTTTACATTTCTGAGTACTAACCATCCTCCATTTGTCCTACTGCAACCCCTGTAACTACAATTCAATGAATCTAGCACTAGGTAGACATTTAGTAGCCAGTTTTATCAGTTAAAACCTAACCTTGGCTAATTTCATACATTTGTAAAAATGGTCCCAGTTAACCCCCCCATTAGGAATATAGTACTCATGTTGTAATTTTGATAGTGGGCATGTCAGTGAGAATAATAAAGAAATAATACCCCAAAAAGCTATGCTTTATCATCACACATAGCTACTATTATTGATTCTTTAAAGTTAATAAGCTTTTCCCTAACTACCACTTTGTGACTCTAGTTCTTTCTTAAAAATAAGTGAAACCATAATCATACCAGTAGAAAAACTGCAATAACCTTTGGAACCAGAAAATTTTGAGGTAGATGAAATAGGTTGATAAATAAGAAGATAAGGGGCAACCAGAGCTATATGACAAAGATTCAGTGTCTGACAGCTAACAAAAAACAATGATAAAAAATTTCATCTCTTGATAGTAACAGCTTTCTCATAATAAAATCTTTATAATACATTTAATATATACTATATTAATATGGACAAAGTGGGGAAAATGCAAAAGAATCAAACACTGGACCACAAAACTTCCAAGCATCATCTGGTTACCAGGGAGGAAGTACGATATTTTAATGAAAAAAAATCCCCAACGTATAACACCTAGAATTTTCATTTCAGCAATTGACCCTTCAATATTAAGACCCTTTGTCTGTTACAGAGGGGTAATGATAGGTAGAATTTTACCTGAAATTCCCTCAAGTTTCCAGTTCTCCTGGTCACTTCCTTCTCAAAATTTTTCCTGTTACTCATCAAGGGCACCTGGAGACAGTTGAAGTGTTAGTTTAAATGAAAGGAATCATTTCCCAGTGGTTGTAAAATTGAAAGGGACATGAAGGAAAGTTGTACATTATATAGTAGTAGAGTGACAGAATTTTAGTGACATTTAAGAATGGTTTCCTATTTTGTACAAGTGAGGTAACTAAAATGAAGTTAAGTTGTACTGATTAGGAATAAATGTGGGTCCAGATTTATGGGGGTTTGAAACTTAGACAATTTTGAAAGTGATCTTTCAAAACATAACATAAAGTTACAAATGTAAATTTATGGGAGGCCTCCCTCGTGGTGCAAGGGGTTAAGACACAACCTATGAAGCTATCTTCAGGCTCTGCAGCACAAGTTCAATCCCTGGCCGGCCAGAGAGAAACCCACATGGCACAGCAGACCTCTCCTGCCTCGCCCGCTGCTCCCCTCAGCAGTGCACTTTGGTCAATCTGCCTGTTCTGTTCCCCAGTCTGTCTCTGGTGAATCCTCTCACCCTCTACACCTCTGGCCTGTACCCAGGCTCTTGTATGCATAAATAAATAAATCTTAAAAAAAATGTAAAGTTACATACAGGACCTTGGCCAAAGTGTATGAAAGTGAAGGGTTCATACTCTAACCAGAACTAAAGGAGATAAAACGTAACTTCAAAAAGCAAAAGGCCAATGGCTCAGTCTCTGGAAGAGCAGGGAAGAAGAAGGGTATTAAGGACTCCTGGAAACAAAGGTATGAAGCTCACCAGAGATGCTTCTGCCTGTTTCTCTACATACCACATGCTGCTTTATTCCCCTCACTGTAGACCAGCCTATTCAGAAGTGGGGCCTGGGGCACTGACAGTTCCTAAGTAACACATCACAGTTACAGTCACTGCTGAGATGCTCTTTCTGGGACAAGCCCAATCCTAGTGCAAGACCTGAAGTGGCCTGGTGGGGTCTAAGTCCACTGTGGTCAGAGGAGAGCCTTATAAAAATGTGGGCAACCTGGGGCCTCCCTAGGGGCACAGGGGTTAAAGTGTCAGCACTATCAAGCTATTGTCAGGCACTATCGTCATGAGTTTGATCCCCGGCCAGGGAGCTGACCCACATGGCATAGCAGACCTCTCCTGTCTCACCTGCTGCTCCCCTCAGCAGTGTATTTCAGTCAATCTGCCTGTTCTGTTCCCCACTCTGTCTCCGGTGAGTCCTCTCATCCCCCACACCCTTTGCCTAGACCTCAGTTCTTATATGCATAAATAAACAAAATAAATCTTTAAAAAAATGTGGGCAACCATTGGTACATGATCAGAAAAGGACAGGTCCTGTGCCAAGAGCTATCTGAAACAAACAAACAAACAAACAAACAAACCCCACAAAAGTGATTCTGTCAACGCTAAATAGCTAGTATTATACTCAGGATCATAAACTGAAGGTCCCATTCCTGCACATTTTTTTCCCTGATAGTTACAGCTGATACTTAACATTTTAATGTTCATGGTTCAGCGTTTTTGTTTTCTTGTCATAGATAGTCATCAGAATACCAAAACAAAATGAGACCAAGCACAAAATAATCTTAGCTTTCCATTCAAAGTCACAGTTCTTCTCAACGATCATTATGCTAATCAGTTCTCATTAGAAATTCATCAGTAGAAAATATAGCACATTTGGCTTAAATGGGGATTATATATTAACTCAGTAGAAATTGTCCTTTCCACTGCTCTTTTGATTTGATTTGTTTACTTATTTTCTCTTTATCATAGGTACAGAAACATGGAAAAAAATAGCAATGGGTTGTGTCCTGAGTTAAATGAAAAGTTGTGGTATGGTGCTTTGAAATGTAAATAGTATCACTCTAAGCTACCATTTATTAAAGCCATGCTTTTAGAACAAATAGTATTTTGATAAGCATTTCAGACCAAAAAGTTCCTGCATAAGGAAGTTGCTATTGATTTGCATTTCCTAGTTAAGTAATTCTCTATCGATTTGTATTTTCCCCCTAAACAAAGTGCTTTAATGTTCAGAAAAATTAGAACAAGAGTAATTGAAATGGGAAATTTTGACAAAATATATCATAATAGAAATCCCTGGGCCGCTTTTCCGCCCTCAACTCAATTTAACCTCATCTTCTAATTTTATTTTAATTTTTAAATTCATAAATCTCATTGTTCTTGACTAGCTCAAGAATTTTTTTCCCCACTTGGATATATGCCATAAGTTGAAGGCATTGCTGGGAAGGATTTACATAGTGCCAGAATGACACCACTTGGTTAAGATGGGAAAAGATGGAGCTTTGCAAATAATTAATGGATTTGAGTTTTCAACTCTCTTCAACCAGTGAGGTTTTGGTCTGGCTTAAGCTCAACCTTGTGATTTGTTAGAACATAACCAAGACTACATTTGTTTTACTCTGTACTGGTTGGGAAATCTCAATTCAGAAGTGACTTTGGGAGTACAAAGGTAGAAATAAACTGACCTGTAGCAGACACCATACCCAAGTGCAGGCATATGAGTGATCTTCTAAAAGAGTAAGAGAATAGCCTCTACTAATAGTCTCATTTGATTTCCTTGATATATATTGAATCCTGCCAAGCATGCTCATGACATGAGATCCTGACACAGAAGCGCAAGATGAGAAAGGATGGATGACAATATGATTTCCCAGCAGATGATGTACAAGAGAAAACGTAATCAGGGTTGTCAAAGAAACATGCCAGGGTCCCACGGGACTGTGCATTTGGAAACCAGAGTGGAGCTCACACTAGTCTAGTAAACTCTTGGCACCAAGATGGAAGCCTATTTGAAGCCAAAGAGTCAAATTTGTAAGGTTTGCCACAATCTTTAAAATACAATTACAGCCACTGATCAAAGGACAGGTTTATATATAAATAACATGGAGAGGACTCATGATCATATGTAAACCTCTTAGATCCCTCCTACCTACACTAGCATGACCTTCAAGATGTCCTCTATTGTTAAAAAGGCCCCTCCACATACACACTTAGAAGTATTATGCTATTTGTCATTATGTATGTTTATACTGAGCAATTTATAAAGTGCTTAATTTCTTTACTGATATTGTGATCATATATGTAATCACATCACATAGGATCATGTAGTGACCATAACTTAGAATAATTTATCAGTTATGCCCAGTAGGAAAGAAAGCTTCCATTTTCTCTCTAGGTTTACTTTCTACCCATCTTGGTCTAAATCTGTGCCCAGAAAGAATGAGCTTTACCACTGAGTCACTGAGGCTCCCCTGACCTCCCTGATTTCCAGTCAGATTTGGTCAGTAGGAGGCACAGACATGAAGTCAGATATTGGGAAGAAAGAGAGGTTGGGGTACTGTTACCCTTACTCTCTTCCAACTGTTGCAGGCATAACAGGGTGTTTTTCTGGAGAGGGTAGACCAGTTGGTCCTTAAAATAGGACTTCAGTTCTCTCCAGATTCTGGAAGTAGACTCCTCTCCTTATCCATGTTGGCCTAATGGTGGGAACAACTTCCTCTCATGGCTAATCTTGGAGAGCTTAGTCAACACCACTTTTTAATTCTTTAAACCTAACTATATATCATTTACAGGGTCGTTAAATTATTCTTATCTGTTATTACACCCTTTGATTCTATAATGCTGATTAACTCTAACTAAACTTGCATGACCTCTTTATCATATTTTTTTATTCTTATCTGAACACAATCTCCTTGGATTCTATAACTCTGATTAATAAAATTGGCAAAGAGATAGCATTTTCTGCAACACCACATCTGAAGAATCACCGATCTATTATAAGCACAATCAATGTGTAGTGCAACAGCAACAATCCCACAGGGATGGGTGTGTTTCCAGAAAGCCCTATGGTGTCATGGATCAATACTGGACTTTACATACCAGGGCTCAAATTCTGGTTTTGCTTCTTCCTAGAATCATGACCTTGGGCACATCTTACAACTTCCCAAAACCTGGTTCTTTGTTAGTAAGAGACTAATAATAATATCTCTCTCATACGCCTGTTGCTGGGATTCAATAAGACAATTTGGTTGAAGCTCATCACATGCCATCAGCATGAAAACTGACAACCTGACAGTAGTAGTTGTAGCCAGGGAACTAAAACAATGTTACCAGAGCTGAAACCGCAAGTGTGAGGTATAATCTAAACATTTTAAGGTCAACTCTTCTAGTGACCTATGTTAAAAAGCTGTCATAGTGCTACTTTACTCAGTTTATAAATTATCAAAGCACTATTGCTATCAAAGAATAATAATCAGTAACCTGGATCATTTTCTTATTTTATCAATTAGTCTCAGGCCAAGTAAGGTTTCCAGCCTTTAAGTATCTTTTTTATTTCCCCATGCTAGGAAGATTCAGCTTGGAAGTAGAGAAGAAGAAGCTGATTGTGATAATGAAGATAGTGGTGGTGGTGATGAAGATGTTAACTGAGATTAACTATGTGCCAGCACTGTTCTAAGCCTTTTGTATGTTGTCTTTTAATCTTCATACCACCATAAAGTATGGCATATTGTTATTTTTTCATTTACAAATAAAGAAACTGAGGCAAAACTGAGATAATTTGTCCATGACCACATCTAGTAACTGATCAATGTGAAGTTCAAATGCTGAAGTCCAAACTCCAACACCCAAGGATGAAAACACCAGCTATTCTTTTTCACCCTGCAAGTTTGACCCCACTTTTTTATAAACATCTGGGTTCCATCTTTATGAATACAAACATTTTATTCAGAATTATAACAGCAGAAAAATTTTTGTCAAGCCAAGACTTTACAGAACAAATATCATTAGGTCAGTTTAATTTATTACTGAAATTTCTATTCAGCACAGTTAAACCATTTTAATGTTTACTTTATTGAAATTATATTCACCAGGATCATTTTTCTGTAAACTATACACTGAACATCTGATTTATTGGACAGTCATTTTGTCCATATCAAATTTGAGTGATTATAGTTTTTCCCCCTAGGACTTATTGTATGGTTAGTATAATAGAAATTCAACAGACCCACATCTAATTTACATGAATTCAATCAGCTTGGTCAAAAATTAAAATAAATCTAAGAGTTGTAGTGATTTTCCAAATCCACCCCCTGGGCATTCCCAGGCACTAAAAGGTTTTCTATATGATGAGGACAGAATTAACTACTGATTCCCCCAAAATATAAATTAAGGAATTAATTGGGCAGAGTTTGGGGTTGGGAAGGATGGCACAGGTGGGGAAGGTGTTGATGAGAAACAGGTTATCAATATAATCTCAATATATCTCCCTTCAAATTATAACTTATAGAAACTATAATTTACTGTAGTGGAGAAACAGAACAACACCTTCACCATGGGGTGACAATGAGTAGGATGAATAAAGGGCAAGCGAACAGGATGTGCCTGCAGGTGGGTCCCTCTAAGAAAGACATGACATCACATGTATTGATGCTGCCAAATAATGTGGAACAAGCACCCCGTTAGGAGGAAACACCAGTTGAACCAAACTGAAGGATTGTCTGTAAAATAACTGACCTGTAACCTTCAAAGTTATCGAGTTTGGGGAAGAAGACAAAATTGCCTCAGGAACCCTTCCAAACTAACAAATGTGATGACTAAGTACAATATATGATCCTGGACTAGATTCTGTACTGGAATAAAAATTGCTATGTGAGATATGATTGGGGCAATTGCTAAAAATGGAAGTGGACTATATATCATATAAAATCAGTGCAGCAATATTAAATTTCCTGAATTTGATAACTACACTGTGGTTATATAAGAAAATACCCTTGTTCTTGGGAAATATACACTGAAGTATTAAGTGATTTTAAATAATCATGATGTATGTAATCTAGTCTAGAGTGGTTAAGCAAAAATCTCTGTGTGTGCACATAGTGGTAACAAAACAGCAAGTGTAATAAAATATTCAAAATTAGTGAATCTATATAAAAAGTATACAGTTGTTCTTGCAATGCCATGAGAATTATTTGAAAATCATTTCAAAGACTATTTTTAAGAATCCCTTGAAGTCTTTAGCAAAACACTGACCAAAATGGAAAAACTATTAAAATCTGATGTAGAAAATAATGATAATGTTAGAGTCAGCCGTCTGGAATTTCCACAAAGTTATGGAACATTTGAATTATTTACTTGCTGATCATGGCCCATCCATGCCAGTGCATGTTGCATACATGACTCAGTACACATATTACTATACAGGATATCTACCAAAAATCTTTGTACTCTTATGGGCAATTTAGGGATTTTCCAGGGTAATTTGTTCTATATATGATTTTCAATTTATTTTAGAAGTTAAGACCTTTTTTTAAATGTCACTTCAATGTATTTCTAGAAATTTCAGGGTTTTTTTCTTGTTTTTTTAATCTTTTATTTTATATAATTCTTACATCATTTTTCATTTTTGCACAATGTATGCATTTTCATTTTGGTTATATTCCCCATACAATTGCACCCCTCCTTATTTTGACCCTAATCCTTCCAATCCTTCCTCTCCTCAACGCCCCCCCCCCCCACATAGTGTGTCTTTGGTTTATAGTTGCTTGTTGATTTTGATTTTTACTTAGTATTAATTAGTCTTTTTCCTGGTCCCTTATTTAGGTTTTCTAAATTCCAACTATGAGTGAGATCATCCTGTATTTTAGAAATTTCAGTTTTTAATTGGTCCAACTTTATGGATGAAGTTTGCACTGTTTGGGAGTTCGTGTTGATCTTTTCTGCTGAGCACAGTGTGCTGCAGTCTCCATTTTCCCTGGAGATGTGGGATACAGCCGCTGCTACCCACTGTGGATCTAGAAGTTGCATCCAGAGTTTACAATGCCCTCTGATTTTCAGGCGGAGATGAACAAGGAGACACATCAGGAAGAGAGCTGGGGGGAGGGCCTAGTGACATTGGGTATTTATACCCAAACCTGCTCCCTACCTGGGCAATAAAGGCATATTCCACAGCTCTCGTCGGACACCATCACCTACATCTCTGGCATTTGTCCCAATTTCTAGTGACTGCTCTGTCAAGGGCTGGCTCCTGGAAATATTACCAAAATAATCTGTTGATAAAGCAAAGCTGAGCTTGTACTTATCACAGGAAGACAGATGACTACCTTGACAGAGTCTCAGCAGCAGGCAGAGAGCCATGTCAGGGAATAGAAGAGATTTTGAAGGTCTGGGTTAAGGTGGATTTTTCAAGCTAGAGCTTGCTCAGGATGGAGCAAGGCTCATGATATAATAGATTAGGATTGGTAGATACTGCAAGACATTCCAAGTAGTTAAGAAATAAACAATTCTTGATAAGCTTGGTGGAGCTATCAATTTTCCTGAGACGGGGATATTTACTCAAGTGAGGATAAGTTAAGCAGAATGGTATTGAGATTAATGGACTTGCAGGAAGTTCCTAAAACAAGCAATAAAGTTATTTGAAGTTTCATCTTCCTGGCCATGAGTAGCCTGAAATAGAAGTAGACTGTCAGCTGTGTGGGTGTTGGTGGTTTCTGTTCTCAGCTCCCATCCTTCTGGGTCTCGGGACAGTAATTCCCCACTGTTACAAGACCCAGAGAGCTTCATCATCCTTGATTGCTTTTCTTCCCTGCGTAGATAATCTATTAAACTTTTTTTCAATTACCCCATCTGAGTGTGCCATCTGTTTCTCATTGGGATCCTAACTAATAAAGAGTTAGATAAGCATTTGTTCATTTGTAAATATTTATTAACTCAGCAAATTGCACAGAATTGCTTGGTTGCCAGTATTAATCAATTGCATCGTGTGTCCAAGTCAGTATTACGGTGCATGGTGTGCTAACTGGCAGTGCAGCAAAGTGTCAACCACGGACTAGAGAGCACGCCTTGTCCCTGGGTCTATTTGACCCACCAGCTGCAGTGGACTTACTGATCCTTTCATAGTCGTGACAGAGGACAGCAAGTACTTAAACTGCTTCAGCTAAGTGCTGGGAATTGAGCAGCTGCAAGTCCTAGCACTGCCCTTCTGTCCTGGTTCTGCAAAGTGCACTTTTTTTAAAATATATTTTTTTTCTGCTTTTCTCTAGGTCTCCATCTCCATCCTGAATATCTTCCTAGTGACTCTAAATGCTTTACTCGTGGCAGTCCTAGCTGCCAAGAACTGGAGACTTGACCACAATTCCTACCAAAGTGCAAAGGCGGCTTCTAGTTGACTGCTTTGCCTACACTTCTGGCCTGTGAAAATAAATGCATCACTCCTTGACTTCTTCAATTCTCCTATTCTCTAGCCACCTCCACGCACGCGTGTGTGTATGTGTGTGTGTGTGTGTGTGTGTGTTTTAAACCCCCAGTGCCACTACCTATCCACACTACCTTGCCTCCTGCTAACACTTTTGGTATGGTATCAGTCCTCTAAGCATCTAAAAGAGAAAATGAAGAAAGAGGTCACATGCTGATCCCAACCCCCTGTCCCCCAATAATACACGCCCAAAAGTTTGAAAGAAACTAAATCTTTAAAAGAAGCAAAGCAAAGAAAATAAATGTGTGTCTAAACAAATTTCCTAGGTTATGTGGGAGTTCTCTGGGCTTCCTCCTCCCTACTAGGATTACTATCATCTTGAATATACACACCTTGCAAACATCCACAAGTGCTGTATTGAATTATTTAGTATGATTTAGCAGGGCTATTTGTTCTGTGGTAAACCTGTTTGGAATGAAATGAAGGAAAGGACATAAGACAGATACAGAAGAGCAAAATTATAAGCAAATCACACTAGGTTTCATTTATCATACTCTACTTTCATGCCAAGAACTATTTCCATTTAGTTATAATGTGTACATAATATTTATTTCAATGAGATACAGAAACTCATATTATACATATCTCAACACTTACAGAGATAAAAGTGAACTCTACACAAAAGCCTTTGTCATATGCAATTGCACTGGCTCTTTTTAAAAAGAGGCCGAGTGTTTTCCAAAGGGACATGTTCTGAATACCCAATGCGCAAGCAGGAAATATGAATTCTCACTTTGGGTTTCATATTGAACTCAGCCCTGGGAGAACCAAGCAACTGAACCTGGTGTCATTTCAAGAACCTCATGGCTTCTCATGTAATACATTACAAGGCAATAGGTTTCCTGTTGAGAATATGTTTTTAATTTTTATTGCATAAATTATACACAACACAATCTGATAATGTGATTAAAAGCTTTGGCTTTCAAGTTAGACAAATCTGAGTTTGAATTCCTGTTTCTAGTCTCACCAGCTCTATGGACATTTGCAAATTAAGTTATTTCATTGTATCTTCGTTACTGCAACTGAAATTGGGGATGTTATTATAAGAATTAAATGAAATAATGCATGAAAATCACCAAGCATGATGTCTATCATATAGTGAGCACTTAGCATGACTGTGCCATTTAAAGCTGCTGCTTTAATACTCTAGTCACACTGGGGAATGGTCAGCTTTCATATATTTTTTAAAGATTTATTTGTTTTATTTATACAAGCACTGGGTACAGTCAGAAGTGCAGGAGGGTGAGAGAATTCACCAGAGCCAGAGCAGGGAGCTGAACAGGTAGTAGGACCGAAGTACACTGCTG